TTGGTATAAGCCATTTGCAACATTGCTAGTGAAGGTGTTCTAATGTCCCTAAAGAAATTTTGAAGTTCCAGGAAGATATGTGTCAGGACTTAATAGCACGTGTTTTTTATAGTTTCTCGAAAGGAACCCAATCTGTTCAAAAGGTTGCTGAACAGTTTTTTTAAAAAAATGCACTTAATTTCCGTTACAAAAGTAGCAGCATTTTCCTTGAATTGCCAATAAGATATTACAGGAAGTGATCATGGTGGTTCGAGTCATCTCTATTCAATGAGTAGAACAGGTGTTCCGAAATGTTCTAATGCGGAAATCGTCTAGCATTTGAACAATTTATCTTGAAAGGCAGACTTTTAGATTTTTGCAAAAGGCAAGTAAAAGCAGTTTTAACGATCAGATTGTCACAAGTAATTCTTGGTCTTCCAAGATCTTAAAAATCTGTGCAAGAATATGTTGATTCAAGTCTCTCATTTTATATTTGATAGAATTTTTTCCACATCATTGGCTTATTCTCTTCCAGTCTTACTGACTAGATTATTTGTGAGTTTAGGCATATCAATTGACAGTTGTTTATTACGCGGCTTTGCAATTCAAGGGACACATTTTCTATTAGAAACAGAAATGCCTGATCGCATAGGGCTGACAATCAAGTCAGTAAATTTATCAACAATGACTTATACCAGACGCTTTGGCTTAGAGTATTCGCCTATCAAGCTTCCGACCGTTAAAATATGTGTGCTTTGACTGCCTGGTTACCTCTTACTTTCTTTGCAGAATAATAGAAGAACTTGTCTAAATATTCAATCGAAAAAAGATTTGGAGTACACCCGTATCCATTTTAAATTAGGAATCTAACAGGTAAAATAATACAAATCATTGGTTTTCTGACATGTTGCCATTTTCCTCGATAAATTCACTAATTTGTGGTCATAAAATTCCAAAATCAAATGCGACACTTTCAAAAAAATTGTATTAGTTAATACCGTTCTCTTCATCATAGCCTGTTGCTTATTTTCGCCTTTTTTACAAACCTTGTAATTTTTTTTCTCTGTAGAAACCAAGTCGTTTTACTTCAAAGCAATTAATAATCCAAATTTTGACTTCTTAAATATTCATTGTGTTAAATCAATGGAAGCAGGTAAAGATTTGAAGTTGTAAGGTCAGAACAATACAGCGAGCTTTGGAGCATTTCCTAATTTAGCCTCCTAAGGTTTAGTTGTGTCTGCTAAGTGACGTTTGGTCTTGCGATGAATTGCCAAAACTGTATGTATTTTTGATAGACCAAACAAGCACGTTGTACTTAACTTTTAAGACTTACCTTAACTTCGCCCAGTTATTTGGCCAGATACATAAAATCATCTATTCGATAAAATTTATAACGTTGCCCTAGATTCTAGCTTCTATTTTTGTTATGCACAAACCATTCTCATATTTACTTATGACGTGGTTCAAGAAAGAATTAGTTGACGAAAGAGGAGAAAAATGGCCGTCGCAAAACTATTTACTTAGCTCAAATCGATTTAAAAGTTGAATTGTCAACATTTCGTCTGCCGAAAATTTCTTCTGTCTCTATCTGCAGATTAATATTTTGGAAAGCAGGAATAACATTATTATCAACACTAGAAGTTTGTGTAAAGCGAAGTTTATGGTAGCGATCATTCAACAATTTAGACCCCCTAAAGAACTTTTAACTGTGTTAATAGCAAAAGCCTGCTCTGAAAAAAATCATTTATACTTTCTTATGCGGTTGCATTACTCACTGCTCTTTTGTACTCTTGTGGAATTAAATAATAACGGTGTAACATTTCATTCTCCACTTCTTCACTTAACAAAATCAATTCCAAGAAACTGTTTGGATCCATGTTGACCACTCAAGGTAACTTTTACTTAGTAAGATTATTGCAACAAAACTTTCGTGCGGCCAAAAGCGCATGTCTTTGTCAGTTATGAAAATCATATGGGAGCTTATCCAACCACCCAATTATTGCGCATCCCTACTTGCGATTAGCAAAGTCGAACTCATCAATCAAAACCAGATTTGTTTAAATACTATGCCTTTCAATTTTATACCAAACTGCAAAATCACTTTTCTATACAATCACAGTGAATTTGCTAGAACATTTGAACTCTAGTTAACACACATTCTGAAAATTGACATCATTAAAATGCATTT